GTCACGCGAGAGTCGACGAGAGAACCGTGACTCGAGGCCTCCGAATTCGAGCGCGGCTCGCAAACGAGGCCTCGAAAACGGAGAGAGGGCGAAGTTCCTCCTCCTCTTTCTCTCTCTCTCGGCGCGCTGCACCGTTTCACCGGAACGCATATACGTATCTGGGGGTAACACAAATCGCCAATATTTCATTCCGCAGGAAATGCCCGGCACACGAGAAAACTTCTCCCTTTCCAGAGAAGATCTTTTCAGCGTTTGGATACGCGCGGATGTGTTTTCAAACAACACAAATTTCACGAGGGAATATCGATTCCTCGATAAAAATTTCAAGTCGATTTTTTTTTTCGATCGTATCCGGAAATTAAAATCTCGATGAGAAATGAGGATTTTTTTTTTCTCTTTTCATCAACTCGAGAAAAACAAACTCAAGACTCTTCTTGTTATGTGCGCGAGGAAGCTTTTAACAATTAACGAACCGTTAGCGTGTGTATATAGAGACATTTTCATAAACAAGCACGTTTTGAAACACTCTGTACTACAAGCAAATGGCAAATGTTACGTGATCAATGAAACGGACATCTGTTTATTCTCGCTTTTAATTGCGGACAAAAGCGGACGGATTTGTGTCGCGCGGAACCGAACGACTTTTCCGCCGCGCGCGCGCGCGCGCGAGATGAAATTCGCGAAACAAAAAAAAGCGTATTTCCGCTAAATTTAGGAGGAGAAAAAAACGAGGAAAGGAAAGTGCAAGACGCGCTGTCGTGTAGGGGTGGCGAAGGTGCGTTCGTGCTCGCCGTCCGTCTGTCCGTCCGTCTGTTCGCGAGTCGAACGCAACCCTCGATGGCTCGCTCGCTCGCTCGAGTCGACTCGAACGCGCTCGAACGCAACGCCAGAAAGAGAGAGAGAGAGAGAGAGAGAGAGAGCGAGAAAGAGAGAGTCGGAGACAGCTTCTCTCTCGTGCACGTTCCTCTTCGACGACTGAAACGTTGTTCACCCTGATCGCGCAGGGGAGAACACGAGGGCGAATCTCTCGTCTTGCCTAGGCCGATCTTGCGAGCGCCGCACGACGTTGCGGACGTCTTGTATTATCGATTGACGAAAGTTATGTGGAGGCGACTCGCCGCCGGGACACAGCAATCATGACGCGAACGAGCGAGATGGGACGAAAAGAAAAAAGAGACGAAAGAAAAAGCAGAAGAGAGAGAGAGAGAGGGGGGGAGAAGAGAGAAAGAGAGAGAAAGGACAAGCGAGCGAACATGAAGAAATTCCACCCTCTTCCTCTTCGTCTCTCTCTCTCTCTCTCTTTCTCTTTGCTCGACACGCCATTCTCTGTAACGTGATGTTTTTCCTTCCGGTTGTTCGCACCCCTATTGTACTCTGATTCACGATCGATGTACATCTCGCGGAAACTCGCGAAGGAAGCATCGAGGAATAACACGAAGATCGCAGATAACTCGTGAGGGGTGAAGGAAAGAAGAAGATGATGATGATGATGACGATGATGATGATGATGATGATGATGATTGCACTCACCCTCACACAGGTTAGACCGCGATGATGGAAGCCTCGTTGGCAGCGCAGACGGCGATCGTGCTCGCGTCGGGAAAACGGCAGTGGTAACAGTGGCGAGATTGGCGACGGCACCAACGGCGACGAAGGTGGCAACGACGCTGATAGCAGTTGACGGCAGTTAAGGCGACGTCGACGACGCTGTGCGCGGGGGACGACGCGACACGATCACGGGCGACGTTAACGCGAAACAACGGCGAGGACGACGACGACGACAGCAGTCACTTCCCACCTGCGTGCGATCCGGGGAGGGCACCATCTCCTCCTCGATCGTCCGATCGCGTGCACACCCGACGACGACGACGCCGACGCCCGCACTGCTGGTGCTGCTGCTGCTGCTACTTCTGGCCCGCGCAACGACGACCACGCTATGGCACCACCGTGGCCGCGCTACCACACCGAGTGACATCGTCGCAGTGTCATCGTCGTCGCGCCCCTCGGCGTGCGCCCCGTTTTTCGCCTGGTGGTAGTAGTGGTGGTGGTGGTGGTGGTGATGATGCTGATGCTGCTGCTGCTGCTGCTGCTGGTGTCCCCCGTTCGCATACGTTTTACGTGAGAGCGGACGTCTACGTGAGAAAAAAAAGAAAAAGGAAAAAAAAAGACGGACCGATCTCAGACGACGAACCGACAAAACGAAACGCACAGGACGCACGCACTCCTTCTCTCCTACGTGTCTCCTCTCTCTTCTTCTTTCCTCCCGTTCTTTCTCCTTTCTCGTCTCCTCTCCTCTTTCTCCCTCTATCTCGCGCGGCGATCACTCGCAGACTCGGGGACTTCGCAGAAGACGGTGCTCGGTCCCCCGATCGACTGCACGACCACCGATGCCCGCTGATGCCAGGAGACGCCCCAACGCGGGGCACCCAGTTCGACGTATGGCGAGCGACGGCTCACCCCGCGATCCGCGTCTGTGCTCGGCCCGACTCGCACAGTGCCGTATCCGCGGCCGCGCGCCGCGGCGTCCGGGGGTGGACGGACAGGCGCAACCCCCTCTCGCGGCGTCCCTTTCCTCGAGCGTGCCGCACCCGTGCGATATGCTCGCTTCGAATGTCCTTTTCGAAATCGAGAAAAGAACATTCCCTCGGGTGTTCGCCTAAAATAATTTTTCTAACCGTTCAAGAAAAATCAATCTCTTTTTTTCTAATCAACAAACCTTGCAAATTTGTTAACGCGACGTCGTATATCGAAACTGGTCGATCGAACACTCGATCTTACCCCCGTCGAATTAATTGAATCAAGCACGTCGCCAGGCTGTCAATTGAATTCCTTCGCGTTCGAGCCGTAGCTTGAGGATAATTTTCTCTCCGCACATCCGGGAGAGAGAGATTCCACCTTGAATTGTTTTCACGCTGTGGAAGAAGAAACGCAGCTTTAGTCGGCGGGCGCCGCGAACTCTTCGGGGCGACCTGGAGCCGTCGGGCACTCAGGGGCAAGGCGGGGGGCTAAGGAAGCCCTTGAAATCAATAGCCAGCCGCTACTGCCGCCGCCACCCTGATCAGGCTGCTCTGCGCTGCATCCGTCGATCCGCCGCCACCGCCGCCGCCGCCGCCGCCGCCGCTGCCGCCGCCGCCTCCCTCTTCTCGTATCCCGATTTATCCGCACGGCATGGCCGAGGAAGTCGCATCGTGCCCGACTTTAGTTCGCAACCGAATGTCTCTCGGTCGAGCGTCATCGGTCACCAGGTCCGAGAACCCGAGAGGGGCGGAAGGGGCGAGGGGAAAGGGTCATGTGTCGTGGGAGAGAGAGCGCGTCGCGACGCGTATTGTATGGAAATTGGTGTCGTTAATTCTCCGCCGCTCGGTTTTCTGACGCATCACGACGGGACGAGAGAAATTTTTACGCGATTTCGAATCGCACATCGACGAACGAGAGACGCCGTTCGGCCGAGCGTCTCACTCTCTCTCTCTCTCTCTCTCTCTTTCTCTCTCTCTCTCTTTCTCGAGTGCCCATGAAAATTGTATACACACACGGGATTCTAGAACGCGCGCTACTATACCCTAGTCGCAAAACTCGCGAACAAGTAAACTTTCGAACAACGCCGTCGTCGTAACCACCACGGTTCAAGGCGCAGAGCGCATTCGGGCGAGCGTCTATATAATCGCGGAAAACTTTTTGTCCAGTTTATTCCCCGGACGCTATCGCGAACGTTTGTAATTAGTTTTTCATAACGACGCAGTTACGGAAGATATGGTGAACGTTAAAAGAAGTAAGGCACGTTCGACGTCGGAAAGAGAGAGAGAGAGAGAGAGAGAGCGGTCTCTTATAAGGGAAACTTTTTATCTAGATTTATATTGTCGTTTATCGCGCGATTGAGACTCAAATATCAGCTTTTTGCGAAAACGTTACTTTTAAAGTCGTAAATTTTTTGTACCTCGAATATATACGATAAATGCCGATAACTCGGTACTAAAGACGAGAGGAAATTTTTTTGTCCAACTTATTGCAATTTTTTTTTTTTTTTTCTTCTTTTTTTCACATCTGTGAAATATCGAGTGCGGCAGCACTTTTGAAACGTTGGGTGTCGTTGTAAGAAGATTTCAACAACAAATCGTAACAAGCCGTGCGACAATAATAAAAACTTTTCACGCGCAAACTCTTTAAATCGAAACTGTCGATCTAACGACAAATACAAAAATTGTATGAAAAAAAAAAGCGAAACAGTTAAAAAAACTTATCCTCCGATCGATCCGACGGAAAAACGCGCCGTTCTATATTCGGAAGCTTTTGTATTTTGACATTCTTACCGCACACAAAAGGGAGTGGACGCGACCCTTCTCGATGCGAAAACACACAGACATACGCGCGTAGGGAGAGACGTACGTAGAATGTGTGGTCTGGTTATGAATTGACCTACTCTACTTTAGATCTACCATCTATACGCGCTCTCTTTCCAGGGATGCTACCCCTTTCGGAAACTGTCTCGCGTCACGAGGGTGCCTGTGTGCTCGAATCTCCTCCCCACCATCATCTCGCAGCATTTCATCTTATTACGGTGAACATATGTTTCTTCATTCATTCTTCAGTTTCGTCACCGCACGGTCGTTCGTTAAAAGTAAACTATCACAATGCTCTGAAACAACTTAATCAACAATGAGATATTTTAATATTATTATTTAAAATAATATGAATATTATTATTTTAGAACGATATTATTATATTATTATTAAAAAATTACAATTAATTATTATTAAAATCAATGTTTTTTAACATTTATATTTATAGAATTTCAAATTAAGTGCATTTAGAGTCGATAGATTTTCGAAAAAAAAAAATACAGTTAACGGACACACTTTGCGAGTTGAAACTTTTTAACGAAAAAATATAATTCTTTAACGACATTAGGAACTTGGATTTAGCGGTTGTTTTTTTTCTTTTTTTTTTTTTTTAGAGAGTGTTCTTTTTAATTGAGCCTTGCGTCAATAATTTCAACAATATAATAATCGTCTATAAATATAATTGAAGGAACAGTTATTTATAATCACGAATACACAATATATCTCGCTACAGCGCTAAAAACATCAGAAGTCTATGTGTTACATTCTCCTCAGTGGAATACTTTTTTTCTTTTTTATTCAAACACGAATATCAACGAAATCGCTGTTTTCACAGATGAGTATCTCTCTCTCTTGCGCGCGCGCGCGTGACCGACGGTGCGGTCTCGTATCTATGCGCATGAAGCAAAATCGCAAAAATCTCGCTAATTGTACATAAAATCCGACGTATAACAATCATATATAATAGATCATTATGTATAACAAATTGTATCTGTAATAAACTTTCTCTCTTTCTTTCTCTCTCTCTCTCTCTCTCTCTCTCTTTCTCTCTCGAATGTAACATCTGAGAAATGTTGTTTTATGCCCGCTATAACTTGTGGTTGTATCATTTGTTCTTTTCTACTACGGAATAATACGGAGAATACATATCTATAATGTGTGGTTTAACTCGCACGAGATGAGAAACGCGCGGTATTTTTTTTTTTTTTTTTGCCTCTTCTCACAGGCGCGTGTTTATATATATATATATATATACATATACATCATACATATATTTCAAAAATTCATATGTTACAATATCTTCCTTTTACAAAGACGCGACATATGGATATTATAAATTTTGTTTCTTCGAGTATAATCAATGCGCGCGCGGGACATTAAAAACGCTTGTAAGAAGTAACAGAAATTTGTGTGTGGGACGGAGCTCGCGCGATTCGAGATCTCTTCATCTCTCCCGCGTTCGCTCGCTCGCTCGAGCCCGTAAGAATTTCTTTCGCGCGCCGCCGAGTCCGAAACGTGTAATCACAGGAAAATAATAATCGAGAGAAACGGAGAAGCGGCGTCTGGATAATAATCTCGTGTCTCTAATCGGAAACTCGTACACAGGAAGCTTACACACGTACACCGATATATCAAGCACTCGCGGTGATTGGGGAAAAAAAAAAAAAAAAAAAAATCGACTTCGACTAATATACCGCGTTTATCTCTCTAAGTTGATAATACGACAGACGTGAGAACGTCGCGCGCGCGGTGAGGCGTTCGCACCTCTCTCTCTCTCTCTCTATGTGTAATAATTCAATATAATGGAGAGAAAAACGTTTTAACCCTCCCCTCCGATATAACAAACGTATATTACAATCGCGCGCGAAACATGGAATTTGCGGTTCGCTAATGTAAGTTTATCGAAACCTAAAATCAGTGTGGGAAACGGGGTGTGAAACGAAATAACACTCGGAACACGATGGAAGAAGCTAGTAAGAAGATTGAAATCGTGTTGTACGCTATATTGCCTCTAGTTCTAAGGCACAGTTATGTAAATATTCTATATAGACTGTGTAATGTATGTATTGTGTGTCTCTGTGTGTGTGTGTGTGTGTGGATATAAGTATTACGTGCTCAACAATAGTAGTTTATAACATGACAACCCGCGATCAGCCTGAACTCGGAGAGAGAATTTCACAACTCGATTATAATATAATAATCTGAGACGGTGTGTCGTCGGGAAGGACACACACTTTCTTTCGACGAGCGGTAACAAATATATATACCACCGTTGTTCATGTATATAATCGTGTATTATATTATTATGAGAGACCGCTGTTGCGGTCTCTGAGAGAAATTCGGTTTTTGGACGACAGATTTCGGCAGAGAGGTGCGAAATTCAAAACCCTTCGCCATGTTGTGGTTGATATCCGATATAATCTTTATTCGTTATTCTTATAAGGACAAACATAAAGAAATTAAAAATTACACTGAAGCATCAAATAAATTCAATGCATCTTAACAAATAGATCTGTTTTCTCTCTTCTTTCTTCGTTAATTATTATTAGTTTTTGTTCTTGTTTTTTATTTTTTTTTATTTTTTTTTGTTTTATTTTTTTTTTATGTATCAATGACAGCGGTTACAACGTCCACACGAGCAATTTTTTTGATAGCTCGTGAACCACTATTCTTATTCTTTTTTTTTTTTTCCCCTTTACTTATGAGCCAGTTCTCCCCTTTGCATATCTAATCCCTTTTTCCCCTCCGCGGCCCCCGGGATTGTGTGTGTGTGTTACATATTTTCAAAATGGACACAGTAACGTGTTGTAACGGGAGAATAAGAACAGAGCGCGCTCGGATGCATCGAGGGATGCGGCGCATGATATTCGAGCGAAAGTAAAAGAAAACATCAGGTAGCTCGGCGCGATCGCGAACCGAAGCACGCCGCATTCTCCGCTACGACGGTTGTACAATGTTATTTATACGATGACGCGAGAGAGTTGCACATTTGCGTTGGAGAAAAGGATGCCGATCTACGACGCATCCTCACTCGTTCGTGTGTGATCGTGTGTTTGCACCAATATAGCTCGGTTTATTCCGAACGTGTGGTATACAAGTGTGAGGGGGGGAGAGAATGCGATACAATCAGTAATCGATAACTTTACATTTTCAATAAATTTCTTTTTGTTTTGTTTTGTTTTGTTTTGCAGGCAGTGTTGAGCACAACACGAATGCACGAGGAATAAAGACTTCGAGCGTGTGCCGCGGTGAAATCATTATTACTCATCATTCGCGAATAAAAATTTGCTCAATACTGCCTCGAGGGCGGACGCGAGAGCTGTAGTTCGTAGAATAAAACGAAATTAAAAAAAAGAAAAGCGTATTATATAAAATACTTTTTGCAAGCACAAGAGAAACGAAAGTATAAATTATCTTATAGCAGGCACAAAAAAAAAAAAATGTGTAACAATCATATATCGTATGTTATTCCACAATCTCAATTTTATAAAAAAATTTAGAAATAAATAAATTTAAAACCCAAAACTTTTTTTTTTCTCATCAGGTTTAAGCACACATCCGTAACGAGCAGCTATTAACTGTAGACCACTACCGTTCGTGTTTATAGCATTTATTATGAACATTTGAATAACGCAACGTTATTATTTGGAGTCTGTGTGATCTGCGATCAAACGATGGTGTGTGACAGCAGAGGACAGGCTAAAAAAATCATGAGGGGGCGGTGGGGATATACACTGAGGTATATATAATAAGATAAAGGCTGTTCAGATTAGTTTCCCCAGCAAATAGCCAACTATAACCATGGCGATGGCGATTATGATGCTAGTCGATGTCGGAGATAACTGGCTATTGCTCTGCGAAGTTAGACCTCTAGCTGCTGCGAGGTTAGCATCATTGCCCAGCGCCGCGTTTCGCCATTTCATCAAATCTTCCTGTAGACACACACACGGCCAACACTTTATAAACGGATTCCGTGTGGCGCGAAATAGCTTTGACATTTTATACACATTAAATCGAATCCAATTTTATTGACTTCACTCAAACTAGATAATCTTCGATAAAATTGAAAAAAAAAAAAAAATGTTATTTGATCGTGAAATTTACGCGTGAACTGTTTATCAAAATAACAATGTGACGATGGATCTTTTAGTGCTTACCCTAAGTTGAAGATTTTCCTGCCTAAGCGAGCTTTCTTCTACCCTAAGCTGATTAACTTCTTGTGCAGCTTTTAACAGTTTTTCTTCGGTTTCTCCAAGTACCTGAGAGAATTGTTATATTGGTAACAAGATACAACGAAGGACTTGTGCAAATTTAGAGCAACGAATCGGTTTGTATCGGTCTTACCTTAGGTGACGATTTGACTGAATCGCCAACTGTTTTGTTCTTCCCGTTAGTCGCATTAGAATCTGCTTTAGTTGTTGTTGTAGTTGAAGTTGTTTTAGCCGTAGTAGTCGTACTAGTCACGGGATTCTCAAAGACGCATTTCAATTTCGAGTCCATTAACTGATCTGGATTTATATCTTTCCACTTAAAAGAGTAAAATTTAAATATAGATCTTATTAATTAGCAAGTTACACATGTGTACGTGTATACGTGTATCACAACTAAATATTTGTTATTAAAACTAAATAAATTAATGCAGAATAGTTTGATCAAATTTTAATCAACTTATTTTAGATCCGTAATATTCTACTTAGATACGTATATATTCACTTACTACATCCATTGGATATTCATCATCGTCGTCGTCTGGTGCTACCACAGTCTGCACCATAAATTTATGTTTATTTTTCTCAGATGGATCAAAATCATAGGGTTGTAAGCATACTGCAATAAAGAGTTTATATATTTTTTTTCACAGATTTAAAAAAAATCACAACCTACAACTTTTGTATTATATATATATGTATATAATTAAGAGAGAGAAAGAAAAAAAGAATGAAAAAAGACACTCTTTACATATTTATAAAAATGCGTATAAAAGAAAGACTAACCTGCTATTTCAGTGACATCCTTTGGCTTGAGAACTCCAGAGTTTGGACGTACACAATATCTCTTTGGGGCAGTAGTTTTTATTTTGAAGTATACTTTTTTGTTTGTGGGATTAATCAATTTTATATAGGATGTGACTGGGCCACCAGTGAATGGGCCTGTAACAAAGTAAACAATTATAAACTACGTAATAGAGACAATAAAGATATGTGTGTGATCTGCCATTGCTATGTAGAAAAATTCTTAGATGTGTTTTATATATTGTTGTTCTATGTATAGATTTGTTACAATAAAAGAGATAAAAAACATAATGCAAAAACTTGTCATCACTCTGAAAGTGAGATCAAAGTACGAGCAGAAAATAAATCAAGCATTTAAACACTGATACATTGATAAATGTGTAAGGTCGACACGTATTTTATTTTTAAATAAGTTAAGCTGAAAAATGAATACACCCAGTTGGTGAAAATTTAAATATAATTTTGACATGTACACGCTGTACACATTAAATGTAAAACTATTTATTTCCAAAACAAATTATTTTAAAATTTATTTTAAAAACATCACAAGATCGAAAAACAATCTTTTGTTCGCGACTTTTTCGAATTCTCGATGTTATTTGCTTTATTATTTATCACATCAATCCATCGATCATCAATTGTGAAAAAAAAACACCGTTTTATCAAACAGTTATCAGTTATTCATTTCCATTACTCATCTCTGAATAGATACATAAGAAATTAAATATTCGAGTATGACCTCAATGATATGATAGAAAAGAGTACGAGTTGTCTGTGCAACAATAAATCATATCAATTTATAAAAGAAACTTTTTTGAACTGTATTACAATTTGCTTATGCTTTTTGTTCACCTGTTTATTTGTATTTTGTATCTATCATTTTTTTGTTTTGTACCTTCTCTCATAGAATTCTTTCTGTCAAATAAAAAATTATAAACAAATAAGTAAACAAATAATTATCAGATATAAAATACGAATACACACACATGTGAAAAATTGAGAGTGAAAACATGCGGAAAAAAATGTTTGCAATATTTATAACGTAGCGGAAGAAATAAGAGACAATTTAGGCACGTTAATCGGGGCAACGCACAATTACGAAGCTATTTTCGGTGCGAGTGCATTTTAATCGTGATAAAAAAAAAAAAAAAACGTTGCCGCACTTGCTGATCGACCGGCATCCGAACGGGTGAGCGCGTAAGTCTATGATTGACGTCCAAATAGATGGTATGAGAAAACACACACGGAGTGACTTTACACCAATCAAACCGAGCATAATTAATGACATTTGGTTTTATGACAATTAGCAATGTACACGAAACGAATGAGGAAAAAAACACACAGACACGAACGCGGAACTATTCATGAGATGTGGTATTGAACAAATCGCGGCGCGAATGTGCATCGCCGCGAACGTCGGGAACGAACTTTGCACATGCAAATATCGAACGTCGCACATTACACGGAATCCGGTACTTAATTTTAAACGAAAACAAAAAAAAAAACAGAAAGAAAAAGAGAAAACACGTGATCGAGAAGAAAATAATGCGTGCAAACGATCAATGATTTCGTAATGAACTTCAAGCGTGTGAAATATGAAATGCAAGATCGCGATGAATTGCAATCGATATTCGCGCGAGAGAAGAAAACGTTCGCGTTTTTTATCGCCGGCGTTCTATCGCGAAGTAGAAGAAAAAAAAAAAAAAAAAAAAAAAACGACGTTTTACCGCGAGGATCGCAAACAACCGCGCGGGTCTCTGTAAGTGGAGCAGTAGTGTAAATTCAATAAATAGGTTTTCCCCTCTTTGCGTGTATCGACGATTAGCAATCGACGGAAGGTCTCTCGGCGGAAGGTATTAGCAGAATGTAGGTAGACCGTCGCATCGATCGATCGGCGCTTCTGTGCGTGTTTTCAAAACGGTTTTCGAAACAATCGGAGAAGACGATCGTTTCCCCGCGTTGATCGCCGCGTTTTCTTTCCACGGGGAAAGAAAAAAAAATCGTCTGGCCACGGAAAAACGAAGAAAAATGGCAAGAGAGGGCGTAAGAGCCAGACCGACTTCTCGCTCGACCATCCGTCCACCTGGACTTTTCACTCACTCACTCACTCACACACACACACACACACACACACATTGGACGAGAAGCGAGAAGTCCATCCGACCATCTGTCCTTCTTTCCTTCCTTCCTTCCTTCCTCACCCTCCCATCTTCGAGAAGCGAAGTATGAAATGTCAATTAACTAGGCGCCAACGAGTCTTGCTCTCGACTTTGACAGCGAATTGACGAAGTCGGACAGATGGGGTTAGGTGTCGAGAGTTATTTTACATAGGCGACGTCGCAGGACGGCAAACCGCGGCGACCCCAGGGGGAGGCTCTTCGTCGCGGGTTGTTTTTTTTTTTTTTTTTCTTTTTTTTTCTTTTGCGCCAACGTGTGAGGAACGAACAAACGAGCCGCGGCGGCGCGCAGGGCCAGGGAACGCGCGGCCGCGGCCGAAGACAAATCGTACCTTACGTCATCTCGCGCGACACAGGTTTGCAAGCTCATCGTCACGAAACGTGCGTGAGCTCGTTGTCGTCGTTGTCCGTCGTCGCGCGTACAGCGTAAACTCCCGGCGCCTCGATCTTTCGCGGCGGATAACACACACACACACACACATACGCACATACGCACATTGTACATAAATTGGCGAAAACAAAAATTTGATATGCGATAATAATAATGACGAAAATGGAATAAAATATGATGGTGCAACGGCATTGGAAAGATGAGTCCTCTCGGGATTTTTTTTTTTTTTTTTTTTTTTTTTCACTTGCGTACCCCTGAATCGCAGCTCGCTCTGTGGCTCGATAATTAAAACTTGCTCCGGCTTTTCGACGGGCTTCGACATCCTGACTGACGGACCGAGACGAGATCTACCGACGGACGGCGAGTCACGGCGTGTGTTAGTGTCGTCTTCTTCTTCTTCGTCGTCGTCGTCGTCGTCGTCGTCGTGCTCGTCCTCCTCCTCCTCCTCCTACGCCTTCTTCCCGTCGTCGTCCTCGTCCTCCGCCGTCTGAAACGCCAACGGTGGCCGGACGCGTTGAAACCCACGTATTTGTCAAGTCGTTCTCGCTAAGCGCTCTATGCCCGTCGCGAATTCCCCGTACGTTTGCGTCGGCCGTGTTTGTCTTCCGTCGTATCTTTTCCGTAGATTCCGTTGAACTGATTCTGACTTGCGACTCGGGCCCGATGCGCGTGCGCCGCGACGGAAATTAAGCCGAGGTGCAGTGTTGTCAGGCGAGTTGCTTTTACTCGCGCACGCGCGAGAAAAATTCACAATGAAGCAACCGAGCTACGAGCGAGTAAAAAAGTGACAGTCCGCGCGGAGGAGGTTGATTGCGCGTCGTAGCTCCGCGACGTCAAATAATTGCCAATTGTGAACGCATTCGCGTTATAAAATTCACGATTTCATGTGTACGTGTAAAAAACCTAACGATTCGTTTATTTCTCGAGATCTCGTTTCACAAGATTCGCAATCGAACCCTTCCTTGAGGATTCACATACAAACGGAACCTGTTGGCCGGCATTCGGATCTTGTATTTCGAAATCGTTTCAAGTTCATCCTGAGACGCTCTCAAGTAGTCGATAAAACGATCCGTACAGCATCTTGAATCGAACTCGAGACGAAAAAAAACAAAATCAAATACAAAATCGGACTGTGAATGCCGGCCTTAAGACCCGCATCGCATCGCGAAATCTTGAACGAATTGGAATTCGACCAATCAGAGCAAAGATTGCGAATCCGTGGTCTGATACTTACGTTTAAAATGCGCTTAGTGTGGATCGCGGTGTGATATATAGTTCGGACTCGTCGAACTCGCACCGGTTCCTGATTTCCATTCTTAAAGCGCGTCGCGCGACGAGCACTCGGGGGTGTCGTGCGGGACGGTTAGACTCGTGTACGAGTTTTGAACCGTGTCATCAACCGGCGTGGTCGTCTCCATGTGTTAATGTGTGTTACACCGGAATAAACTTTGTTTCTTAAGTGGTAATAAAGCGAGGAGAGAGAAAACAAAATTCTATCGTTAAGGAACAAAATATTGCTATCGAGAAACGCGAAATTTTATAAATTCGATTGAAACAATTGTTAAATTTTAGAAATATAGGAGAGAACTTGTAGAATTCTCAAAACAAAGTTTCGGTATTATGGTAATGTTTTTTGTATGAGTATCATAAACACACGTGGAAGAGGTCAAAGCAGCATTGCGCTAAGTATACATTACACATACACATACACATATCTGTAGAAGAGATTCATAAGAACAAAATGACAAGTGATACGTAAGTGTGAGACAAAATAACTGTGCAAATGTTCGGAATAGCGAGAGTTTCTTTTCAATTGAGAATTGAACTTACATGTTGCTGAAAATTTTGCAAAAATTAACTCTTCGCGGATAGACATGGGTCTCCCGGACCCACTCAAAAATTGCGGATCTGCGGCGTCTCTACTAAAAAATTTAGTTTTTAACGCTTATATCTTTGAAATTACTAGAGTTTTTTTTCACCTTGTTTGTTTTTTTTTTTTTTGTTTTTTAGCGATGCAGAATTATTGAAACTTTCATTTGAAAAAACAAAAAAACACTTGAAGAAATATTGACTTTTTGCGAAGATATTCGATTTTAAATTCGCGCGAGTTTCACAGACATCCAGTCTGTCCGACTTGTAGGTCAACTTTTGTAGATCTGACTGAGGTCTGGCTGCAAAGAGTTATAATCCCTAATATATATTATTGTTGTAATTCACAGAGAAGATCAGTACGTACATGAGACTTGGGAGTCACCCGCCGATATCATAATGTCATATCAATACACACAAGTAGACATGTTCTCGCAACAGATGCCCAAAGATGACAAGTATCTGATGTCTCTATCAATTTATGATGGTAAAGAGCTGCATATCTAAAAAAAAAATGTATTTCTTATATCATCATATGTTGATTATATCATATGTTAATACATTATTTGTTTATATAGAACACAATGTTTTTTTGGGAGCTACTACCATGAACGAAAACAGATGGACTGGTTTGTTCTATTATTACACAAATCTTCCTAACTCTAAGAAAGACAATATTGCCACAACAATCGAGATGTGTTCTGGTGTTAGTGAAATTCTTGTTTTGGACCAAAATAGATTTGTTGTTTCAAACGATGACAGTGAGATACACCTTTATCGAATAGAACCAACAGAAGATGAGAAACCAGATCTCTATCAAGTACAATATCGCTCTCAAGAGAACAGTATTCTAACAATGTCTTATTTTACTACAAGCAACAAACTTATCACAGGGGGATTAGATTGTAGGTAAGATGTTTGCAAAATTATGAAATTTATATACTTGTGTCAATGTATAAAAATATCAGAGAGAGTACTTTTTGAAAACTTTTCTTATTGCAGCATAAGAATCTGGGATATGAATGATGATTTCAATCTGACACACAATTATGCTAATGCACACACGTATTCCGTCACTTGTGTGGCTGTAGATCCCAGAGGCGATTTGAGATTCGCGAGTACCTCTGTAGATGGTGACGCAATAATTTGGGACATCAAAGATTCTCGCCCCGCAACATGTACATTATGAAACAATTTATCTCTCTATCGCCGCTTGTTTGATCGTTTATGGTGTTTAATTACGTATTATTTATTTCTCAATAGATATAGATACCAAACTAGCTTGCGAATTAAATGCGGTAAGTTGGAAGATCTCTTCCGATCCTGTTATAGCGATAGGAGCGGATGACGGTACTGTCATGGAATTTGATTTAAGAAATACACAAAATGCGTTATATGAACATACTGCATGTAGCAGAGGTATATCTAAGTTGCTGTACAATCTGAATCCAGAATGGTAAGAATTCACAATCGCGTTTCGGTGACTTGATAATTCTCGATTGTAATTCGTGCTCTAATAAGACAAACGTACATTTCTTTTTAGTGCACACCAACTAGCATGTGCGTCCTACGACACAACTGTGAAAGTTTTTGATAACGAGCTACAAATCAAACTGAACGATGAGCAGCATTCTGACTTCGTAACTGGACTCGCATGGTGCAAAAATTACCTGTACTCATGTGCTTGGGACGGAAATTTGTTAAAACACGAAATAGCAATCGAATCGATTGATGACGATGAAAGTGATTAAAATTAATATTGTGTACATATTATTTATTTGTGTACATATATCAAATGTTAACAGTGCATTATTTTTTCTACTTTTGCAATTTTAATAAAAATCATTGACTGCTTTTTTCTTGGATAAGAAAAAAGAAATAATTCTGTCCCATTGTACACTATTCTAGCTACGTTAGCTCATCATTTATATGTATCAATAGTGATCGTATTGATAAAATAAAAATTTTATGTGCATTTTTTTGTTCTTTTTTTTTTTCATTAAAAGATCCTGTGTAAACAATGATAACAGAAAGACAATAATTCCACATTTGCATTTATTCAAACTTGTTGATTATTTTGAATATTTTTGTAACATAGATACTCGCAGGTGTGATGTTTTTGTGTTTAAATATACTTGCGAATGACACAGCTAAAATATAATATCGCTATGTGTATAACAGTAACGTAAGAATCGGATAATTGTGTATAAAGGATTTCTCTGTGCATGTGTGTGTGTGTAAATTATTAATCTTAAAACTTTCAATATTCCTAACCAATAATTCGACCAAGTTTTTTTTCTTCTTTTGACACTCTCGCCTGTAGAGTAATTAAATATCCAATACTATTCTATTTACAAAATAAAGTCAATATTAAATCAGATGAAAGTCAACGTGTAAATCTAATCAAACAATGTAAACAGAATTACTATAAATCGAAGCACATAGTCGCAAAAAGTGTGTTCAAAAAACCCAAAAATTCGTTTTTTTTTAGCAATTCAAAGTAATCAAATAATTACATATATGTGTATATGTTACGGTCAAAGCTCAAAGAACGGGCAGTCCTAGGATTGACTGATCAATGCGCGGAACAACAAAGCGTTTTGGTCAAAGCCCGAAATAGTTTTGTGTTTCGGCTTTTGACAAACTGGTGTGTCTTTAGTCAATCCTAGGAGTAACTAATATGGACTGGTTAAAATGTTAATCACTTCGAACTTTGATTGGTCAATTCTAGGTGTGAGTTAATTCGGATTTGAACTGTTAAAAAATAAAACAATTTTTAAATAATTAACATTCGAAGATGTTTTTCGGGTTTGAACCGCGTTAATGTCATTTTTATACCGACGTTTCGTGAACATTTCAGTTTACTTCATCAGGGTTTCAAGAGCAACCTGATACTCTTTGAATAATGTTTTTTTACTCTCTCTTGTAGTTCTTCTTTTTAAATTTAAAATATAATTTAATTTAAAAATATTAAACACACAACTTTTTAATAAAAATTTTAGAAAGTATTTATTTAGTGTCAGGTACTTTTAAAATAATACAAGACATACAATAACTAATAATATAAAATAATATAAATAGATCTTTGGCAAACATTTAGCCTTTTAGAATACAAAATGTACTCTTTTAAATCACACATAAAAATATCTTAATTATTTTAATATAAATGGTTATTTTTTAATATACATTATTAAAAAATAATCAAAATACTTTTTACATAGTTTTTTATGTTGCTCCTAATTTTGAAAATATCTTTTTTGTATACAAAGTGTTAAAAAATAATTAAGATATTTTTATGTGTGATTTAAAAAAGAGTACATTTTATGTTCTAAAAAGCTAAATGTTTATCAAAGGTCTCTCTTTTTTATATTATTAGTTATTGTATTTTATATTATTTTTAAAGTATACCTAACACTAAATTATTAAAAAGTTGTGTTTAATATCTTAAAGTTAAATTACATTTTATATTTAAGGGGAAAGAACTACAAGAGTAAATCTACATTATAATAAAAGCATTAACAATAAATTAATGGTCATTGAGAGCCTTACGCTGGATGTTCGTTGCGAAATGAATATATATTTATATTTGTATAAATATTATACATGAAATTTGAATGGAAATTTCAATTCTTAATTGTGTAGACAATCTTGCGAAATCGAAATATAGAAAGTGAAGGCCGAGCAAAATACCAAGATATTATGGTGAAAAATTCAATTCTTAAATTCATATAGGATGCTATATATTTGCATCTCGTATATGATAAATAAAATATTATTCAAAAAATCTTGGTTTTACTTTTTAAACAGTTCAAATCCGAATTAATTCACATCTAGAACTGGCTAATCAAAGTCCAAAGTGATTTTTTTAGATTTTAACTTTAACCAGCCATGCTAGTCGCTTCTAGGATTGATTAAAAACACACCAAACAAAAGCCGAAAGACAAAATTATTTCGAGATTTTACCAAAACGCTTGGTTGTTCCGCGTATTGATCTAGTCAATCCTCAGGACCACCCGTGCTTCGGGCTTTGACCATAACATATATATAAAATACTTTTGATAATGCAAAACAGAAAAGTTCTATTGTGTCGCACTGATTATATGAATATATTCTTTGTACGTGTGTGTGTCTCTGTTTACCTCATAAAATTTGCGAATTATTTTATCCGAACATACGGTATATATGTAACATTTTCTTACAAATATCTCGAATATCTAAACTTTGTGTATTTACGTTCTTGTACTGCAATTCGTAGGATTGATTAGGACAGTTGCATAAATAATTTCTTATGTAAGTACATTACTATTTAAATTTGGTTTTTTATGCATAAAATGTGTATATAGCATATACATAGCATAAGAAGTAGAACCACAAGAGAAAGATAATGTATAATTACTGTTTATATAGTATCTTTTTTTTTTTCGTATTATATATCTTCAGAGTTTATATATATATATATATATATAATTTTTTTTTTGTTTGTTTTTACACTGAATTGGCCCATGTATAAAGTTGACTGTTGTTTCGGATGACGTTGCTCGAGGAGAATAGAAGGTATTTTAATATCTTCCCTTGATATGAAAGTTTTTTTTTTTTTTTTTTTTTCAACATTGATCAATGTCCGCTTAAGATTTGCGATTATAAATTCTAACAACTAGCTATGCGATCGTTCTGGCGTATAAAAACTTGCGAAGGACAGCACGTACGTATTGTGTTAAATGATTGATTCATCCACATAAGAAGCAAATAATAATATGTAACATGATCGAACGTATTTAAACGTATTGAATTGCACATTAAAGATTTTATATAAAGATGATCGAAGATGATCGGTCGGTACGCTCAACAACAATATTTGTGTATTTGTGGCACGATCGTTGATAACGAATGCGTTCGCGTTACAATACAAGAATGTGATGCAAACGTGCCTGCGTAGAGTCTTCACGTTTCTCAGCGGACTTATTCTGTAACTTTTTAACATTTACGTGTTACAGAGGCATAAATGCACGCGTTGCGAATTTTCGCGCAGACGAAAACTGCGTTTTGAGAAGCGCGCCATCAGGAAACGCTCTATTGCATCGTTCGATCTTTTTTTTGTTGTTTTTTTGTCGTCTGCGATCAGCGATAAAGACGGAACGAATAAGCTCGGCAGCGATGCGGATAGCGCGTTTCACAACGCGCAGCAAAAATGTATCACAAAATAGCTGCGCGCGATATAAAACGAAATCTGTCGCCACGAGTTACAGAACAAGGATTACCCTCCCGGACCACTTATCTATGTACTTTGTTCATTGTATTATTAGGAATTATTAAAATCGTTATGTACAATTCTTTTTTTCCTCATATATTGAAATATATATCATTGCCTTGTATGCGACTAACGCGACATGCAGCTTGCGTAATCGGGGACGTTCTTTTTTTTTCTTTTTTTTTTTTTTTTTTATATCTATGTGACGTAATGTATACTTAAAGTGGTGTTTGTTTGTTTGTTTTTTTTTGTTTTTGTTTTTTTTTTAAACATGATCTGTGTCTTTTTTTCCTTTCCCATGTCGATAATAATTATCCCCCCCTCCCCCCACATTTGAGCATTTGTATTAATTACAATCCGAAGTCTCTGTCGTCGTCCTCCGGTCTCACGTCTCCGTACCTCCAGATATTGCGATGGTTATGTTTCGCATCCTCTTCGGCCTTCTTGTACTCCTCGATCTGCAAGTTTCAATTGCAATTCGCAACTCAGTATAGATCGTGAGATTACTCTTTTGTTTCTTTTTTCTTCAAACAATAATATAAAAATTTCTAGTTAACTAACCAATTTAGCAAGTCTTCTATCTCGATGCTTCTGAACATGCAACAATCCGTCAGAGATGAGTCCCTTTCCGATATCTTCGTTCGTGTTTGGCTGAACAAGTGTCACCGCAGTCACGTTATTGCTCATCTTGTATTCCACGTTCAGGAGCAGGATTTTGTCAAGCACATCTTCCTTAAACGCATCCACTGCCCATTTCTTGTCGTCGGTCTGCGGAAATAAGTCACATTGTGAGTGTGTGTGTGTGTGTGTGTGTTATTTATATTATTATATTTTTTTAATACGCGTTATTCGATTAGTTTGTATTATGTTCAATTGACTTAGCATTTCCATCCGTTTTTTGATTTTGTCAAAAACTTAAATTACTTACGTCGCTTGGCAGAGTCACACACGCGAGCGTGTACTCGTGAGCGAACGGCTTATCGGTCGCGAAGCGCGCGGGCAAATCGGCGACTCGCGTAACATTAAGAGTTTCCCTGTTGCCGTAATCGATGTAGAACACACTGACGTTGGTGCCCGAGACTTTTTCCGTCTTCACGCGATACCACTGATCGTCGCCGCTGAACTTCGCGACCGCCAGATCACCCCTGGTCGGCTTGTAGGCACCGGGGAGCGGCGGATTGGTGGCCAATTCCTGGCGCAACTGCAGAAGCATGTTCTCCAGAAGGCTGCCCTGATCGACAAACTGGGCGTAGAAGTGAAGATCGTCGGTAACTTCGGAGATCACAACCTTTTGATAGTCGATCTTGCGCTCTTGCACCTCCTTCTCGTCCACGATCTTGTCAGTCTCCACCGGCGTTTCCACGAGGTTCTTCCAGATCTACATCACCAAGTTATATATCTCAGCTTCTTGCTCTTACGAAGCTATTATTCGAGTAACTGGATGTATATTTACATTGTAATTGTACGTGTGTGGTTGTATACTTACATTGAGCTTTTTCGCCTTCGCGCGTTCCTCCGCGGCTTTGAGAGTTCGCGTAAGTTCTCCGGAATCCGGGAAATTCACGACTTCCGCGAGACCTTCCTCGACCAAAGCGACGGACATGTTGACATCGTTCACCGTTAACCAGCCAATGAAGCCGCTCAGTTTCGTTTCCGTGTTCTCGATCTTTATCTCCACGTCCCGCTGGAAGCAATGCTCTTTGGTGAAAGCCAAGGCTTTCTCGCCGTACTCGTCAGCTTTTACCACTCCGCCGCCGGGCAGGGTTCTCTGGCATCGCGGCGTTCTTATTCCAGCCAGCACGAACGTGATCACGTAATCCTCCTTGGGAAGATAGAGCTTCAGACGCGAACCGCTCGTTACGAACTCGACGACCGCTCTGATCCCTTGCGCCCGCTTGAGCGACGTCAGGAACGCCTTCGCCTTCGAAGGATCGTTCGAGAGATCGACTATTCTGTGAACAGGAATGTCTTTCTTCGCGTGCAGACCGTGCTGCGATTTTTCCGCCTTGCTCTCCGCGACCTGCAGAAGATTATAGTGAGATGAACGTTGATCGTCGTTCTGCCTGTACTTGATTACTCGTGCGAGACCTCGTCCGACCAGTGCTTCCGCGATGTTCCTGTTGTTGTTGACATAAAGAATAGAAATGTGATTGATCTTTGAGTATTTATTTCTAACGCAAATTAACAAAAAATCATTAAGCGCATAAAATAAAATTTTTTTCCGAATTTACTTACGTTTTGCCGTAAGTTACGGTGCAGCATAATTTCTCCGGGAAGTTGTCCCTCGCCGGCTGCGTGTAATCGACCACCACTTTGACGTTCTTTCTGATGAACTTCTCGCGCAGAAACTCTCGCGCTTCCAGCATCCACGGTATGTCGTAGAGCGGTCTGAAATCTTTCGCTCGCGTGGCGTTGTTGCTCTCGTCGTTCTTCTTCTCTCGTGTGGGCGGTCGAATACTGCTCAGAAATACTTTCTTGTTATCTCCGTTTTGCGTTCGTATAATAAGCGCGTCCGCGTTCACGATCTCCACGACGGTCCCGGTGAACTCGATCTGCGGTTCGGACGGTTTGTAATCTTTCCACAACCGCAAACGCGCCTCTTTCGCGGCCGTCTCAGCGAGACGCAACTTTTCCTTCGCCCCGGCTCTGCTGCTGCTGATCGACCACTCCTGACATTTTGCAAAACCTTCGCTCAACAAGATCTCGGCAATGTTTCCTATAATAAAACAAAAAATCGCACTCGTACATATCATGCGAATTAAATCAGTTCGAATATTCACGATATAAAACGGGAGATACGGTGTTATGAAATAGTAACATTTGATCAGCCACGGCCGATTCGAATTTCACCGTTTCATATACTTGATGGTTTGGTTCACTTTGAACTGTAAGTGGCTCAGAGAGATGGTCAAAGGAAAGCTAAGGAAGCCAAGTTAAAAATACTCGCAGAAAAAAAACTACTCGCGATACGAAAAAATTGAACAGATTTAGAAAATATTTAGAAACTCCGCGATTCAGTCTCGTTGAAATTATGTGTCACGGACTTACCTTTAGGATGAATAATGCTGCCGGTAAATGAGTTATTTTTGTTTACCGATTCGAGCACTACTTCAACGTCTCTGTGCAAAAGTCGCGATTCAACAAAGTATCTGGCTTCGTCCGCGTATGGTTCGCTAACAGAATTATCGCGGCGTCCGTTTGGCCATCCAGGACAGCGAATGCCCGAAATCATCAGCATTATGTTATAGAAATCAGGCAGAAGTAAAGCCTTGACGGTGGATCCGTCTAAAACGAATTCGATGATTGCTTTGATCGGCTTCTTGCCGAACTTTTCTAACAACTTTTGCGGATCGTCGACGGTCCATTTAACGTCGCGCACGTGTGAACCAGCTGACTCCGACCACTTTCCTTTTTTCGCGACTTTTGCGATGTTTTCCAGTTCGATCAGTCGTTGCTGCTCAGCCGAAGGATTGCGGTTGTCTTTTTTGACGGTCACAAGACCCTCGGACACCAAAGTTTCAATTACATTTTCCCCATTCCTGTCTGTAAAATAATATATGATAATTATAAGATCATCTCTTTTAACAATCGTTTAAAAATCAATATATTCATCACTTTTACTTCTTCAGTCTTAATTTCTCTGTGTTTCTATGTGTGTGTGTGTGTGTGTATGTATGCATATGCATGCATGCATGTTATTGTGCAACTCAAATACCTTTTCCCAACCAAACTGTCCCGTACAATCTGCTTGTGTTAGCTGATTTTTCAAAGACAAAGGTGACATCCTGTCCAATCAATTTCCTGCGTAAAAATTCTCTTGCTTCCCAAGCGTAAGGTTCGTCTTTACTTCCGTCAGTGCTGCAAGTCATTAACACATTTTTGATTATCGCAAAAACAATCAATTTTGTTATTTTCAAAACTTATCCGCGCTTCTTTTTTTTTTTTAAACCTTGAAAAAAATTTATAAATACTTTCACAGAATTCATGCGCATATATAAAATAATACATTAAGATTAGTATTATGCATCACCTTTTTTTTGCATATCGCAATGTTATTTTACATACGTGTCATTTCCTTTCCAGCGTTCTAGCTTGGGAGCAGTAATGTTGCACAAAGTAATTGTTGCCTCGGGCGGAGGACCACTTATGGGCTGTCTACGAATAACAACAGTATCTCCGGATATTATCTAGAAACAATTTAAAACGCATAAATAGACATTTATATCTAAATCATATTTAATATACATGCACAATATTTTGAGTATCATAATATATTTATTATAACCACAATAAGTATCATAATATATTTATTATATTTGTTGTAACCAATATATATTTATTGCAACCAACAAGGAGGCATTTTATATTTTTCGTACTTTTTCAAATTTGTAATAAATGAACTTGTGAAAATTATTCGAGATAGATAACGATAAGAGATAGATACGATGAGCGATCAAAATGTGCGTTTAAAGTTCACATTTTAATATCGGTCGCATATTTAACACAGTGCGTTCTCGAAAGCACATGGCGCGGCGATATTATTTTAAAATGTTAACCATATGTTTTGCGGTCTGACTTCTGCCAGCTGGGCGAAGAAGTCAACATCGACATGGTGCGGCGTAAAACGAGAGATAATTTCGTGCGTTTATATCTCCTCCGCGAACGCGAGGCGTGCGTTGCGTGCGGCCGCTCGCAGTGGCCGGTCGCACGGACCAGCCGAGTTCGCTCGGCTCTGATTTTTGTTCCTCACCTGCTTTACCACTCCATATTTGAGTTTCACCTGCTGTGCACTCATCTTGTGCGCGACGGAATCAAAGAAACTACGGAAGTTCCGCGAGACTGATGTTTCGAGCGATCGGCACGTGCTCCTCTATCGAGAGAGTCGAGAGAGGTGATGGTGGTGGTGCGGTGCCTGTGTGTCCAAGTATACGACGTGGTTCCACGTGGTGTGTTTATCAAAAAGTTACGCAAAATGAACTCAGGAGTACGTTGACATGTTGGCCGTAGTAACAAAGGTAGAGAGAAGCAAAAGGCACCTTTGCGCTTTCTTTCGTTCGCACAGCTCGCGCGTACACGCAGATCGGAATTGTAATCGGCGGCACGAGCGCGATCTACACAATCGCAAAACACGCTCTGAAATTCGTTTGGATTTGGTGGTGATGTGGCAACACGCGACACACGGTGCGCGGCACGGTGTCGCACTCTATGATCCGACTTCGAGCTGACACGTATATGTCCGAGAGGAGGAGGAGGAGGAGGGATGGCGGCGGCGTGTGCAAGAAATTCAATCGCAAAACCCGAGCGCGGTCGCGCGCGGGTCGTTGCGGAGGATACGTTGCCGCTTGCGTCCGCACTTCGCACCTGCTTGTGTAATCTATAAATTTTTCTCCTCCTCTCCCCCATATCCTTCCTTCATTTAATACATGGTCGTGCAACGCACACACAGAAGAGCGTGAAAAAATCGAAGAGAACAAAGTGCAAAACGATCGGTGATTCCAAAAATAAAATTTAAAAATAGGACAGAATGCTATTTACAGTTTCAAGGATACGACAGATTGTTTACTCCAATGTTATTTTTAATAATAAAATGTACGCACACACGTGAAGTAAGATTGAAGAGACAGTACAAAACGATCGGTGATTTCAAAAGAAAAAAAAATGATAATATATGGGGGAAAAAAATTATTTTAAAGAATTATATGTGTATACATATATGTGTATATATATTTAAGCACACTCTCTGCACAACATCCTGCAAAACGGCTCTCACAACCCAATTTATTTAATTCATTAGTCTAAAGACTCCTGAGCCCGAAGAATCTTCTTATTATTAATTAAAAAATAATAATAATTGTACTATTATACACAAATTTCAAAAGATTGTTGACTTTAATATCAATTTTTACAAAATGTAAGCACATATTTGCGTACGGAAATATCACACCAGCAGTATAAATTTATTATTACGGTAAAACTTATCTTCAAGAAACACACGTTGCGAAGTAACATTGAATTAATAATATTTGCAAGATAGAAAAAAAAAAAAAAAGAAAACTAGGAGCCAAGATACTTGCGTTTACGATTACAAGATCTAAGAGAGATCGAACTTCTATAAGAGACGTTAATTTTTTTTAATCACCAAGTCTAGTTCAAGTACAATTTTCTCTGTTTTCTCACAAAATTTCCAATTTCGAAAATCGATGTAGGGGGGAATAAATATTCGGATGGGAAGACATATATGTCGGAAAGCAAATTTTTAAACACGATACTTTTTATTTTATTTCGCACGAGTTTACACATCTTCTTAAAATTAAGTTTTTTGATGAATCTGACAATGGAATGATTATGAAGAGAGTCTGAAACTAGTAGTAAATACGCGAAAGTATAAAAAATAATATGCAAGATGTAATGGCGAACTCTTAGAGGCGATTTGTAAAAGAGGAAATACTCCTGAGACAGAATCAAGTGGCGGGCTTTTTGTTTTTTCTTTAACGCGCGACGCGATCGATATATAAATTATTTCGTAAAATTAATATACATATACATCTATGTTTCGTAACCCTACAGATGACAAGCTTGACACTTTGTTCTGTCAACGGCGGTGGTAAGAGAAGAGACGAGAGAACGATGAAAATAAAAAGAACTCGTGATATCTTTTTTTCAACGAAATTAATTAAGAACAGTCTCTTGCCTTCTAAGGGATCTAAAAGAAAAGTCTTTGGATTTGAAAATAGTTTCTTTCAAAAAAAAAAAAAAATAAAATAAAATAAAACAAACTATTTTACATGAAGAAGCTTAATCTACTTCTTCCATCCTCGACGCTTCCTCCGCGTCACCTTCTAACGTCGGCACTTCAGTGTCCATCTTCTCTTCCTCGGCATTTGGCGTATCCTCATCATCAAAACCTAGGCCGAGCTTGATCATTCTGTAGATACGTGACGCGTGTACCTGCGGATCCTCGAGCCCGAAGCCGGATGACAGAAGAGCGGTTTCGAACAACAACATAACGAGATCTTTGACCGATTTGTCGTGTTTGTCCGCCTCGGCCTTTTGCCTCAGGTTCTCCATGATAGGATGATCAGGATTGATTTCCAAGTGTTTCTTGGCCGCCATGTAACCCATGGTGGATGTGTCGCGAAGAGCTTGCGCCTTCATGATCCTCTCCATGTTCGCGGTCCAGCCGTACTGCGATGTTACAATACAGCAGGGCGAGTCCACCAGTCTGTTGGACACGACTACCTTCTCCACCTTTTTGTCGAGGATGTCCTTCATGACTTTGCAGAGATTTTCGAATTTCGCCTTATCCTCCTCACGCTTCTTCTTCTCCTCCTCGTCCTCCGGCAATTCCAAACCTTCCTTCGTGACAGAAACCAGTTGCTTTCCGTCGAACTCTTTCAGTTGCTGCACAACATACTCATCGATAGGTTCGGTCATGTAGACGACCTCAAAGCCACGCTTCTTTACGCGCTCCACGAACGAGCTGTTGGCAACCTGTTCCCTGCTTTCGCCAGTGATGTAGTAGATGTGCTTCTGGCTCTCCTTCATTCTGCCTACGTAGTCTTTCAACGAGCACATCTCGTCACCGGACGCGGATGTATGATAGCGGAGAAGTTCCGAAAGCTTCTTCCTGTTTTGGCTGTCCTCGTGAATTCCTAATTTCAAGTTCTTGCTGAACTGCTCGTAACACTTTTTGTAGTTCTCTTTGTCTTCTGACAATTCTTCGAAAAGTTCCAAACATTTCTTGACTAGATTCTTTCTGATGACTTTTAGGATCTTGTTTTGTTGCAACATCTCACGAGAAATATTTAGCGGTAGATCCTCGCTGTCTACAACACCCTTAATGAAGTTCAGATATTCTGGAATCAGGTCCTCGCAATTGTCCATAATGAATACACGTCGCACGTATAATTTGATGTTGTTCTTTCTCTTTTTATTTTCAAAGAGATCGAAAGGCGCGCGACGCGGGATAAACAGCAGCGCCCTGAATTCCAGTTGACCTTCCACGGAGAAATGCTTGACGGCCAAATGATCTTCCCAATCATTTGTCAGGCTCTTATAGAACTCGCCGTATTCTTCTTGCGTAATGTCATCAGGATTTCTAGTCCAGATCGGTTTTGTTTTGTTGAGTTCCTCATCCTCGGTGTATTTCTCTTTAATGGTCTTCTTCTTCTTCTTTTTCTCATCCTTCGGCTTATCCTCATCTTCGTCCTCGCCAACATCCTCGATCTTGGGCTTGTCGTCCTCGGTTTCGTTTTCACCCTCCTTTGCAGGCTCCTCTTCTTCATCTTCGCTCAGTTCCTTATCACGCTCTTTTTCTACGACAAGCTTGATGGGATAGCCAATAAATTGAGAATGTTTTTTCACAATTTCCTTGATCTTGGACTCCTCCAGATATTCGGTCTGATCTTCCTTTATGTACAAAATGATTTTGGTACCGCGTCCAATTGGCTCGCCATTGTCAGGACGCACTGTGAATGAGCCGCCGGCCGAAGATTCCCACAAGTATTGTTCGTCGTCATTGTGCTTCGAAATCACGACGACCTTGTCAGCGACCAGGTATGCAGAGTAGAAACCCACACCGAACTGTCCAATCATGGAAATATCCGCGCCTGCCTGCAGAGCCTCCATGAACGCCTTCGTTCCAGATTTTGCAATAGTACCCAAGTTATTTACAAGATCAGCCTTGGTCATTCCAATGCCACTGTAAGGATAAGAAAAAATTTCATTTTATTGCATCATTACTAATATGTATATAAAAAAAATATCGTAGATAAATTGTAAAGTAGTCTTGAAAATTGTGAAAGATTCTTTTAAAAAGTTCAAGTTTTTTAAAACAACTGTTATATAAAAATTAAATGCTTTCAAGTTGATTTAACATTTTATACGAGACAGATTAATTTAAAAATGCAATAAAATACATATTTGAACTATTAAATTTGATAAAAGAAATGCAATTAAATTATCAAATATAAAGACTCATTTAAGTCTTCACCTAACCTGAAGACATTAAATAATTCATTAAAATAACTTTTGTAGTAAAAGACTTTCTGCAAATTAAAAGACTGTACAAAGACTTCAATAATCTCAAGCTTTGTGCACAATTGATACTTACGAATCAAGAATTGTCAACGTGCGATCATTCTTGTTGGGGATGATTTTGATGAAGAGCTCTTTGCAGGTATCCAGCTTTGATGGATCAGTCAATGACTCATAACGAATCTTGTCTAAGGCCTAAAGAAATATTCATATTGTGTGTTTAGTCCTCATTCATGTAATCATTGCAAATAATACATAAATCTTTCCTTGTACGAACAAATTCATTAAAAAAATTTTGTTCCAAGAATTTTATAAAACGAAAAAAAAAACAAATACATGTTCACACATACAAATTATAACAATAATAATTTACAACATCAATCGTAACTATTTATGTAACCTAACTTGTGAGTATTTCTTTGCGATATTCCACTTTTATCTTTTTATCGAATAATCAAATTGAATCATCTCAACATCACAAATAAACAATAAAATTTGCAATAAAGAAGCGGCGACGCAACTGTGTGGGTAAGGTTTCGTCACACAACCTACACTTCTGTGTAGGTTGTGTGACCAATCGATAATGCGACCATCCGTTTTTTTTTTTTTTTTTTCACATCGACTATGCACAAGGCTACTTACATCAGACGAGTTGGAGATCAGTTCTCGGATGAAAATTTCCTTGTTTGAATAGAACGTATTAATAATCAAGCTCATAAGCTGAGCAATTTCAGCCTGGAAGGCGAAGGTCTCCACCTCGCCGGCGTCCGACATGTTCACGTCCTCTGGCATTTTTTCTTTTTTTTTTCTTCAGTAATTATTTAACCTCAGTTCGATATTAAAATCTCACACGACCGCCAGTACACGAGAGACAAGTACACGAAGAAGAATGCACACACAATTGTAAAATCGCAGTGAAAATTCGCTCAGTAGGGCAGAAACCTTGGCGCGTTGTCGCAGCACCGCTCTATCGCACGGGGATCGCCAGACCAAATATTCAATGGTGGCGCCGGCGCAGCTTTATATACTATCGCAGAATGTTCTAGAAGCTTTGGCGGAAGTTGGAGAACCTTCTAGAATGTTCTATCAAAATAACGTTTTGAGGAGAAAATCGAGCACGACGCGATCTCCGTCGTGAGTCGAAACGTCGAAAAATCTCGCGCGGCGATTAAACGCGGCGTTTCGTTTGCGAATCTCTCGGACAGAAACTCGTACCGTACGGTCGATCAACGGTTTCTCCCGCCCGGGCGACTAGCGTAGTCCCGCGGAAGTGACGACACGTTTCCAGGGATCTAGAACCATCGCTATAGGTCGCAGGGCGCACGGCAAACGGACGAGAAAGGAGAGGGACGCGCGTATCTGCCGGCGTGTGCGTGCGTGTTCGCGCGTTTTCGTGTACGTGTGACCCGATCACGTACAAACGGCGGGCTACTCTACTCCATAGGTGCCAAGGATGTTTCTAGGCGCATCGCGGACGTTCTAACAGAAAATTGGCTTTTTTTTTTTTTTTTTTTTATCAAACTCGTTCGTTCCGTTTTTTCGACTCCGATTCTTCTCGTCGAAATAATTCGGATAAACTTTTCTGACATCAAATACAACACGCGCGACAAATGCGAAAATAGATTTGTTTTTTGTTAAATGCAAAACACGCTGCAAAACTTTTACACAGCATTGCAATCACGTCTGCGAATAGCAGACGTGGAGAAAAGAGAGACACGTGGTGTTTGTAAGAATAATTTTTTGTTTACGAGATTGTTCAAATGTATTGTTCTTGTCATATTTAGCATCTTGTTAATTTAATTTGTTATCGACGACACGGTCAAATCGTGTAATTTTTTCACGTCGTCGAAATCGTACACACATTTTTGGAATTTCGACCAAGAGAGTCGTGGGATTTTTTCTGCTTTTTTTTTGATCGCACAATTATTTCCGCATTTTAATTGCGTTGTGCATTGAGTCGAAAGTCGGCTTGCATTCTGGACCAGTTATTTCAGACTCACGGGCGCGTGTGTGCGTGTAAGTGTGTGTACATGTGTATAACGGATAGTCATTCCCCCCGTACGAGTTTTAAACATATATGTACATATGTATATCTCATGTTTCGTTGTTACACGGCGACCACATTTGCTTTGTTTTTAGTATTTTGCAGACTCATGGATCCGGGAATTCTGTCAAGACTGATACCCCAGAACAAGGAGCACATACGACCTGCCTGTAAAAAATGCGGCTACGCCGGACACTTAACCTATCAGTGTCGCAATTTCATCAAAATCGATCCCAACAAGGAGATAGTGCTCGATGTCAGCAGCACGAGTTCGGACAGCGACGAGAATTACGTGACTCCGTTGACGGAGCTGCGGGAACGTGAACTGAAGAAGAAGCTCAAGGAGGCCAAGAAGAAGCGCAAAGAAAAGAAGGCCAAGAAAAAACGCAAGAAACGCGAGAAGACAGACAGCAGCAGCAGCAGCAGCGAGTCAGAATCCGAGTCGGAATCGGAGTCCGAAACTTCCAGCGACGAGAAAAAAAAGCACAAGCACAAGAGGAAAAAGAAAAGCTCCAAACACAAAAAGCGCAAGAAACGCTCCAGAAAGGACGATTCGTCTGACAGTGACAGGAAGTGAATTGCCAGTGATCGAAAAATTTAATTCCGATTTCGAAGAATTGCAACAAATTTTCCTCGCGATTGCATGGTTCCACGTGCGAGAAACTTCTACATTCATTCTATAGTTCCGTTTGTCATTGAATATTAAACAGTGTTATACATGACAAACAATAAGTGTGTTTATTTACATATTTATGATGATGATGTAGCAGACTTTAGTATTTCTATTTTACAGCTAGTATCTCTATTTTACAGCTGTTTTGTTTTTTTAAGTCATTATATTTATGTAAGTAAATATATATACACGAACGTATATACATATATTGCATTTTTCATATATATGACAATATTCTGTACCGTATATATAAACATACATTTTGTAGAAAGAGAGAAAGATGTCACGCACCGAAAAAAATGAGAATACATATGTATGCACATGTTCTCATATTTTCCAGCATGATATCATCTTTCTCTATTTCTAGAAAATACTCATGTCTTCATTTTATTATTGAAAAAACAGGAAGTAAGTCTTGTCAGATGTCTTGAGAAAATTTATATTTTTGAAATGTAGCGAAACAATGAATTAAAAAATACTATATGTGTAAAAAATAATATATTATGTAATGTAATTTGATGTGTGATACTTCGGTGATTGATCTTCACGTACAACCCATAGAGAGCTCCGGAAAATTAAAATATCAGAGAGAAGCGTGATAGCGGCCAGCCTCGTGATAGAATGTGTAATCACTTTTCCGCTCCGTAAACTAGCGCGTGTCCACATGGGTGGCGCATATTGGAACTACTCAGCCACATCTTCCACGAGCGACATGTCGGTGCGCTGTGTTCCACAGCGCGCGGTTCTATTCCGCGCTATGCGCGCGAATCCAAATGGTCGCCTTGTGAGGGCGATGTCCCATTGAGCGGAAATCTATAGCGGAACGGAATGTGCGGAACCAGCTCGACCAATCGTAACCACAGAAAAAGCGAAGGAAAGAAAACGGAATGGCTATGATTGGTCGAGCTGGTTCCGCACATTCCGTTCCGCTATATATTTCCGCTCAATGGGACATCGCCCTGAGAGTATATTCGCGAGCGTGAATTTGATTTCTTTTGAAATTTGAAAAATGACCGGTTTAGTGATGAGAGAGAAGATGTAAAAGGAGAAACAGAAAAAGGATAAGAAAAAACACATTGCAATTTTCCACACAACACAAATGTATGATATACAAGAAAAAATGTGTGATGGTCAAGAAAAGAATATTATTTTAGCGAGCAGCTCATCAGAATTCGTAGAGCGTAGTCAGGTGTCATCTCCTTTTACATCATCATTTGGTGCTCTTTGCTTTGATGACCGATCATTTTAAATTCCAAAAGAAATCAAATCCACGCTCGCGAATATACTCACACGCTTGAAGAAGGTGACCATTTTCAAGCCGTTCTTCTCATTGATCGCAAGCGCAAACGCAAGGTATAGATCTCGTAGAATTGACCAATCGAACGCTGGTCAATTGGCTGATTTGATCAATACGATTAGTCAATGGGTGCGTTCAGACAACTCAACGGTTGAGAGATCATCACTTATGATAGGACTATTCTTCAAAATCTGCAGCGGTTCCAAAAGTATGATCCAATCAGAAGTGATTATCTCTCAACCGTTGTGCAACCGTTGAGTTGTTTGAACGCACCCAATTCTACCAGACCTGTTCCTTGCGTTTGCGCTTGCGATCAATGGTCTAGTTTCCACCGAAACCCTCAATTCGGTTTCACTCCGGTACTGATCAAATTTAGTGCTCTGTTTCCATTGGAAGTAGAGTACTTATAGATCGAAGCGGAAGTGAAATCAGCACAATTTGACAGGTTTCCATCGACTTGAATTTGATTCTACGTCGCATTTGGTGTGAATTAATGCTTCGGTGGAAACTAGACCAATGTGGAACAGGCTTTACACGACGCTTCCCCCACTCCTAAAAAGCATATTGTACGAAAGGTGTACACTATACACTTTTCGTGTAAGCAAGTAGAACAAACCTAATGGGTGCGTTCAGACAACTCAACAGTTGCACAACGGTTGAGAGATAATCACTTCTGATTGGATCGTACTTTTGGAACCGCGGCAGATTTTGAAGAATAGTCTTATCATAAGTGATGATCTCTCAACCGTCGAGTTGAGTCTGAACGCACCTAATGAGAAACGCCGTTTTCAGTGAACAACCATGACCTAACCTAACCTTGCCTTGCAAAGTGCTCAGGGACGCTGGACGCTGTTTGCAAAGTCGTGAGAACTCTTGTTTTAAAAGAAACGGAATAGCGTTTTCTCAAACGAAGAGGATTGTTTTATATAAATTCTTTTATATTATGACGCGACACGCAAGGAATTGTACTGCGGGCGCGGTGTACACGTATCACGAGAAGAAGAAGGACGCTGCAGCGTCTGGATATGGCACCAATACTCAGAGAGTCGGCAAGGATTCCGTCAAAGATTTCGATTGCTGCTGCTTGACTCTGCAACCTTGCAGATATCCTGTAGTCACGTATGTGTCCTGTGTTCTCTGTATATATTTTTTCATACATTAAACAACGTGATTATCATTTATTTCTGTTGCGTTTTTAAAGGAAAGATGGTTATCTGTTCGACAAGGAGGCGATATTGGAGTATATTGTGACCAAGAAGAGGGAATACGCGAGAAAACTCAAGGAATATGAGAAGCAGAAACAAAAGAAAGAGGTAGGTGCAAGCGAAAAGTTATTTAGAAGTTAAAATCAATATGCCGATGATTGTGTGCAGAATCAGTATTATTTATTTAGAAAAAACAAACTTGTAAACATTTTGATTCCAATGTGCGAGCCATTTTCAGCATCAAACTTTATTACCAATGTTGTTTGTTTCAGGAGGAATCGCAAGAGCAAACTGCTAACGAAGAATTGAAGAAACTTCAGGCTTTTCTGAAGGGTGAAAAAACCATTGTGTCGAACGCTTCAAACAATACGGATGCAGCTTCAGTATCCAACATGAAGAACGGCAAGGACAAAATGTTGCCCAGTTTCTGGATACCTTCCAAGACACCCGAGGCAAAGGACGTTACGTTACAAAAGCCAGACAAGACTATTTACTGTCCTGTCAGTGGAAAGCCATTGAAAGTCAAGGATCTTATACCTGTAAAATTCACAGAGGTTAACGATCCGGATGACAAGAAATCGCTCATTGTTAAGCAAGCAAGATACATGTGCCCTATCACACATGATATCTTGAGTAACAGCGTCCCTTGCGCTGTGATCAGAACAACGTAAGTGCAATGAAGCATTTTAGAATATATTAATTTTAAGAATCTTCTGCTTTAATTGATTGACACATTTAATCGTTTTTTTCGCTTTGATTTGTATTTTTTGTTTTATTTGTAGAGGTGATGTAGTCACCATGGAATGCGTGGAAAAATTGATAAAGAAAGACTGGATCAATCCTCTGGACAATTCTAAACTGACGCCGTCTGATATTATTCCACTGCAAAGAGTAAGCATATACGTCGTGTACAATGTGAAATATGAACTTTCTAATACACGGTACTAATATTTGTCTTTTTATATCTCAGGGTGGAACCGGTTACGCATCTGTTAACGACACACTTGAGGGTAAACACGAAAGACCAGTATTGCAAGCCTGAAGAAATTGTGTCTCCCTGTATTGCGTACGCGAGCTTTAATTATAATTAAATATACAGATTTTAGCAGTATATTAATTGTGATAAGTAAATTTATATTCTAAGTGTAAAGAATATATAAATTATGTAACATATGTTGAAAACTAAAAATTATATCAACAATTTTATAAATTATTTTTAATCATTATTTAGAAATTTATTGTCGTGTGCGTAAGAATTCTTATTTCCTTTAGGAAATTTAATTAAATCATTGTGAGAAAAATAATTGAACATTACGATGGTCGCTGAGCACGGCACAAAGAAAGTGAAATTGAAAGGGGGAAAAGAAGACGCGGAGATAAAAGTTCGCGCGCGCGGATAAAAAAGTTATCACACAGGTTCCGCCACGGAGATGAGGACGGTGGCGCCATCTCGGCCGATTGTGTTTTTACACGGAAAACACGCGCGCTCCGCCGGGCAGGCGGCAATCTGCGGCGACAACAATTCTCGCCGTCGCGCTCGTCGGGTCCGCGCGCACGTTCGAAAGACGACCGTGCCGCGATTCGTGCGTGAAAACGCGTGCGTGCGCTCCGTTTGTTTTTTTTTTTTTCGATTTTCTCTAGCGTGAATCGCGCGACGCGTTTTGTTCGGGGATCGTAGGTAATGTGTCCGCGCGCGAACTCGAACGAGGAGTTTATCCGGAACGAAAAAAAAAAAAACGTCCAAACATCACGCGGAGAAGTGAGTGAGCGCGTTTTCTTCCGCTTCGTGTGACTCTGATCTCGCGCGGAGTCGGCGGATTGTGTCGCGAGTTTTTGCGCGACGCAAAAGTATCCCCGTGTGTTTTTGTTTGTTTCGCGTTTCTTTTTGTAACAACGGCGTCGAGTTTTTTGGAAGTCGACGAAAACTCCTCGAGTGCGTCGATTGAAGCGGAAGTGAACCGCGGTTTCTCTAAGCGCGTTTTCACGTCGCAACGGACGATTATGACACCCGCGGCCGATAAACACACGTAAGTAGATAAACATAAAATACGATAAACATAAAATACGATAAACATAAAATAAAATAAATTTTTATCGATTTTACCGATCTCGTGAAACAGTCCCGTGCCGGGAGAATCTCGCGAGCGTGTTGCCTCTGATTCGATTGTATGTGTGTGTGTGTGTGTGTGTGTGTATTTATACAAGTCCAGTTTTACACGCGAACGATATGTGTGCGCACAGAAATTTCTGAAAACCGTCACGAGACTTTGTTTCTAAAACGTTCGAATTCTTCAAGATGGTGTTTTTTTTTTTTTTTTCAATCGGAGAGAGCCGCGCAATATATGCGCCACTTCCGAGAGAGACTCTCTTCTCTCGCTCGTTCGTAATCGCGATCTCTTTATGTAACTCCGGTCAATAATAGTCGTATTGAAGGTATATCCGCGTTTCGATACAGGAGCCACAAATGTGTGTGCGGATGAAAAAAAGCGCGGGAGAATGCGAGATTTCTACGTGCGCAACGCGCGAAGATCGTGATGAGACGTGGAGGAGACGCGGCGATTCGGAATGAACTTCCGCGATCGAGGTTGTTTGTTGTACGAGCGCGGCGTCGAGATGCGATAATCGAATTTTTTGCGTTTCTCGTCCGCGCGCGGACTTATCTTTCGCTCCAACAATTTGTAGCCCGCACAATTGAAGCGAGCGAGCGAGCGGTTCAACGGCTGAAGAAACCCGAAGACACAAACAACGCAACATCACAATAAAAACGTCGTCGTTGCGCCGTGGGCTTGTGAGAGACGCGATGATATAACGCGCCGCGTCGCGACGCGGTTCTTATCGTCGTCGCTTCGCACACGTACGCGCGCACACGCATGCTGCTATCTCTCTCGCCCGCGCGCGCGTTGTGTTACGCATGCATTTCGCATCGCGCCCGAGTCCGGTCCGGGGAGCTTTTCTAAAACAAATGTATGCGCGCACGGGACACTTTCCGCAACGCGAAGCGTCCGCGAGATAAACAGATTTTCTAATGATACATTCTGCGAAGCAGAGCCTCTGTGTCGTTTCGCTCGTTGAAAAGCCGCCTCGCGACGAGACGACGCGTTTGCGATAATTGTTGAAATATAAATTTGAGGAAGGACAGTTGAATAAAAAACAAAATTTATATCTTTATCAAAATTTATATATTTCTATCGGGGTTTGGATTTTAATTTTGGAAAAATTGCACATTTAATTTGTAAATTTTTTAATTGTTGCACGTTTTTAAAATTTTAATTTAACCGAATGTTAAAAATAAATCTTGAGACTGGAGAAAGAAAAGTAGATTCGAGAAACGGCGAGGAAATTTTCTTTTCAATTTGCGTTTGATAAATTTATTTCGCGAACACTCGATTCTTTTTCGTCTTGAGTGACTTCGTTGGAAAAAGAGATGCGTTCAAGTTCGGAAACAGCGAACGCGCGCGCGTGGCAAGAAGTGAAAAATTACGCGTATCGGTCGATTGCATTGCATAATGTTTAAAACGATGAGATATACATAGAACTAAGCGGCGATACCATTACGTAAGCGGTAAACTGGTTGTGTGAAAAACTTGTGAAAAAATATGTATAATATATTTTGCACTCGAGAGAAATTTTATTATAGCTCGCGCAGTGGATTTTTTTTTTTACCTTTTGTATATTTTTTTTTTTTTTTTTTTTCAAACGAACTGCGATTTGCAATTCTCTCATCGCTTTCTTCGCGAATCGTCTCGCCTTTCGAAAGGACGAGAAGTTTTTTCTCAGCGAAGAAAACGTCGTCGTTTTGTATGTCGCTCCGATATCGCTCGCTCGCTCACTTTGTTTACCAACTCGCACAACTCTCGGGGTCTTTAAAAAAATGATAATTACTGTTGTGTATACGTATTCTTCTCCACGTCTATTACATCGACATTACGAGAGTTACGTAACGAGAGATTCAGCAAGGAACTGCGCGAAATGATTCTTTTCGATCGACGACGCACGGGTATTTGACCGGTTGCCGGCAGATTTCCGTATTCTTTTATTATGCATTCACGTGTCTCTCGCGATTTGTCTCGCGAACGTTTTCTCTATTTTTTTTTTTTTTCTTTTTTTTTATGTTTCCGCACGAATCTTCGTAACGTAACACGTTCGAGATTCGCGGACTAATCCTTCGGTTGTAATTATCTCGATTCGACACACACACACACACACAGCTGCGTCTCTTTCATGTGTTTCCGCAAAATTGCGTCTGCAAGAGATCTCGGTGGTTCGAAATCTCGTTTGTGAATTCAATCAAGATTATTTTTAATTACGCAATTTTCGCGTAGCTGCGTTTTTTTTTCCCGCAAACTGCGTCTGAAAGATCTCGGCGATTTCGAGAGTGTGAATTTAATAAATTTCATCTCTAATTAACGCAACTTTTCTGTTTTCAATTTTCGCCTCCGACTTTGATTTCAAAGTCTGCAAAGTCTCTAAAGAGAGAGATTTCGGACGGTGTGTCAAGTGATTTCTAACTCGCGCTGTAATGAGACACATTTTACGGCCGCTACATGCACAGCACTTTCACCGCCGAACGACCGGCGATTATCGCGATATCGCCTCCACCGGGACGACCAGAGGGAAGGAAAGTAAAAGAAACATAGAGAAACAGAGAGAGAGAGAGAGAGAGAGAGAGAGAGAGAGAGAAAAAGAGTCCGGATAATTTTTTCGACCCCTCCGACCGCGCGTTAACCCCAAGAAGCAGATTATTCAAGGTTGATCGAGGAAGCCATCGTCCACACTGCCGAGGCAGCCTCGCAAGTGTAATCGATGATTCAGTTTTCCTCGCCGGTCTCTCGCGCCCGATTCTCGCTCTCAGCCGATACATTACGTAAAGGATCCGCGTCGAGAGTCGCGTCGACCCGAGTCGCGGGTCTCGTTCCAATCGTGACCGACTGACTAAAGAATATTATATCGCGAAATCGCGAGATATCGCGTATTATTATACACGTATAACCACCCGGTTCTGTCGCGCGAGAGCCGCGCAAAAGAGAGGTCGTCGGTAATCCGTTTAAATACACGATATCCCCGCGCTCTTCGGAAGATGCACGACGCGCTTTCACGACAACGTCGATCGCTCGATCGACGAATTCGCGGGCGGGAGAGGAATCGATCGGCGCGGTTATACGCAAACCGGAATGCGCGATCGCGCTCTTAAATCTCGGGGAGCGTGGGGAGGGTTGATCTTTCGCGCGTATAGAAATCAGGAGGGGCTGCCTCGGTGGGAAAATGACCGGCGAGCTTGCTCTCGGTGTGCCCGAGAATTGCTTTGATATGAGGTAATGCGCACCGCAAAACACGCAAGAAGCATTACGTAACATTGTTTAAAAGTGTGTGCGAGCGACACGGCGCGCTGCTATATATTTATTAACGAGAGACGTTGGTATGTGTGTGTGTGTGTGTAAGCAAGCAAGTCGCGCGCGATTTCCGTCGTGAAGAAACGGTCGCGACCACGTCGATCGTACACAGAGAAAGAGAGAGAGAGAGAGAGAGAAAGAGAGAGAAAGAGAGACAATTAGAACCGCGCACGCACGTTTCACAATTGAGCTCCGAATCGCGCGCGCTACGCTCGAAGAGCGTTTCGCATTCGAAATCGGCGCCGCAAAACAGAAAATCGATCATTTCTTACAAATATTCTGTCGCAATATTGCGTAACATATTGCGCGCTATTTATAAAGAGCGCAACTGTTTCTTTCTCTGCAGGACCCTCCCCCCCCTCCCCGCGTTTTGTGTTGTCGTAAACATCGATGTGACACCGTCTACTTCAAACCGCGCGATATTTCGCAAGGTTTCGCGTCTCAGGTAAACACGCTCACATGTGTATTTTTTTTTTGCTCGCGAGAATTCGGATGCTGAAGACAAACAAAATTATCGCATTTCTCGCGCAAGACCCGGAATATTTATTTGTTTATTTGCGAATTTATTTATCCCGGTTCAAGTTTTGTCCTCGTTCGTATGCAGCGAGTCGGACGAGCTCGCGCGAGCGGACTCCGCAGTCGATCCGCCGCCGCCGCCGCCGCCGTCGCCGCGAGCCGCATATGTAGTTCTGAAAAGGTCAAAGTATTTCAAATGCAAATCGCATTAGGCTCGTAAAGGTACGTAAGGGTACGTAATTCCGACCGGCCGGCTTTTCGACTCTCTCT